GCGCCCTATCACCGTGCAATGGTGTCTCGATGACTGGGGGACTGTCGCCACCGAAGCCCGTGGCTCTAATTATGTTTGTGAGTTTAAAACAGAGAAGAAAGCCCGAACGAAGTTCGGGAACTGCATACACCCAACACCGAGGAAGCCTCTCATCTGGGAATTTCACTCTTTCTACCGACCCAGCGAGGGAGAAAGCGCCGGCAGCCCTTTCCCCTTTTCTTTCTTGCAACTTTTGTCTCGATCGCTCGCCGCGGCCTTCGGCGACGCTAATCCTTGATAACTTGAGAATCGTGGAGGGAGTGGGGGCTGGCTGCTCTGAAGACAAAACCCGACGGGAAAACAGGTGGTCTCTCAGTAACGACATTTCAAAGACGGCGCGAGAGTTGATGAGTACTTTGACCTTCGCTTTGTTTTATTTATTTTTTTTAAACAAAAACTATCGCGCGCAATCAATTTTTGTCTGGTCTTCGTTCTATGGGTGACACAGAGCAGTCCCCCAAGTCATTTGCCCAAGTTCAAAATCGTTGCACCACCCCTTGTAAAGGGATACTTAACCCAAATTTGGATTTCACAAAATCAGGCCGCAGAAGTCTTGAACGGGACGCTACGAACTCCAAAACATCACTCATACATTCATATCTCCAACGGATGGTAAGGGCGCAATCAAGCGAGGGCTATGACGGAATGAGGGGAAGCGGCCTCTCTTCTCTCCTCATCGCTTCGGTTCACCAGCTCAACGGGACGCAGCGAGGAGGAGGCGGAGTGAAAATCGTGACGGGCCTTGTCTCGTCGGCCTTGTCAGCGGAGTTCAATCGCGCAATTCTTCTCCAAAAATACGGCGATCCGTTAGACATATCGCTGCATGAGTGATGTTTCTGGGTCTTGCAGACCTATCCGCCCAGCCTCGTTTTATGAGCTCGAAATTTTGGTTGACCATCTCTTTAAATGGATACTGAACGGAAACTTGGATTTCACAAAATAAGGCCGCAGAAGCGTTGAACCCGACGCTACGAGCTCCAAAATATCACTCATACATCGATATCTCAAATGGAGCAAAATCATTTGAGACATGCGTCGATCTTTAATTCACATAGCATGTCTAATCACTTTCATTGCACGCGTGACGCCATACTTCACGCAGCGTTGTGCGTTTTGTGAAATCCCCGTGCGAGGTCATGTGGCTGTGACATAATGACCCTATCGACCAATCAGGCTTTTCCCGTCACAACGCCGCCAACTCCGACACCGGCTTTTCTGCGACAGAACTTCCTTAACGCTTTCGCGTTAAAATACGGCCATCCGTTAGTAGTGAGTTTTAGCAAACGCAAGCGCTGTGCGTTTGCGTTAGCCTTGCGCTCTCCACGAAGCGCATGCGCGAAGTCGCCATGCGCCGATCCAAGGCTGCAGTTTGGGCTCCGCGCACGCGCAGTGTAGAACACGCAGGGCTAACGCAAACGCACAGTGCTTGCGTTTGCGTTAGCGTTGCGTGTTCTATAATGCGCAATACTAAAACTCACTATTAGTCAATTTTAGTATTGTGCATACGTGCATACGCAAGCACTGGACATTTGCGTTAGCGTTGCGTGTTCCACACTGAGCATGCGCGGAGCTTCATACTGCGTCTTGGATTGGCGAATGGCGACGACGCACATGTGCAGGCTAGAGCACGCAACGCTAACGTAAACGCACAACACTTGCGTTTGCTTCGATACGCAATACTAAAGCTCTCTATTGCTGTATGAGTGACGTGTCAGAGGTTTGCAGCGTATTGCCTATCACTCCAGCTTTGTTTTGTGAGCTCCAAATTTCGGTTCGGTATCTTTTTAGAGGGGCGCTGACATCACCAAAGCATTTTTTTTATTTAGCAAACGAGTGAACATGATACTTAGACATCAATCTCAAAATTTGAAGCCCGGAAACAGCGTATTTGCAGAAGAAAGAAAACTATTTTCAGAAAGTCGAATTTGAAGTTTCCGCGTTCCTCAGTGACGTCAAGAGTGGTCTAGCGCTCTGAAACAATTGGTCCTGTTATCTTTTCTTTTTTTGCTGCCCTTTAACCAAAAATGTTGGCGGCAAGGCAAAAAAAAAAAAAAAAAATCTGCTTTGCAAAAACGTACAGACGCGCATTTTTGCGAAGGTATTCTTCGAGAATACACGCGCTTTTCTTTCTAATTTTTTACATTCAGGAACAAACGTTGCCAACCGAAGAACGTCAAATTCAGTAATATAGAGGAGCCTCCCGCAAACATGCTTATGTGAACAGAATGGATCAGTAGATGCAACTGCAGTATGTCTCATAGTATGTTTATTTTTATAACAGTTTGTGACAAGTAAGCATTCGATTTTCTTCCATTCGCTTAGTACTATACTCTGTTTCACCTTATGATATACCGCAGAAAAGGCTACAAGCGCGAGCTCCTCGCTCAAGGGCGCATCTCGGCGGCACAAGCTCTCGCGAATTAAGGGCAGCCGCCAATGCTACGAGCTCGCGCTTCTAGCCTTCGCTGCGGTGCAACATAAGGTGAAACGGAGTATAATTTCGCAACTACTGTGCATGTTCCCACGGAAACGGGACATGAGGCTTCGTTAGACCAAAAAGACGGGACGGCAGAAATGAACATCTCAAACGGGACTGCCCCGGCCAAAACGGGGCGGCTGGTCACCCTACCTTTAAAGGGACACTAGCAGGGTATTTATGTTCGCAGAGGTTTTTATTTGAACATTGCCTACAAGAGCCCAACTACCCTCAATACAATTTGCGGCTCGAAAATCGTTTTCTTTCCGCTTGAAAGCAGCCGGTCGAGAATCGGCCGGTTTCAGTCGCGTTCACTATATTTTCCATGGTCAGGTGGCAGTCAGACTATGTGCATCAAATATATTCAAAGTCGTGGGTCATCTAAGGCACACATTCATTATTAAAAATAGAAAAGAATACGAACCCATTCTTGTAGCCTCCAAAAAGCAGCAAATAGGCTGCTCCAGAAAACAAATGTTGCACAGATCACATGAAGTGTATGTACACGTCCTTCTCACTGTGGCGACGTACCGCGGGCTGGACGACGCGATGGCGGCGCACGACGGACCAACGTTGCGACGGACGTAGGGCTGCTACTTCGGGACTGTCAGTCGTTGTACTGGTCAATCGATCTTCAAGCGCAGAACATCGAGCGGAGGGATATAAGTGCGAAACAATCACACGACAAACGATGCACGCAACTTTGTCGTCTGCTTCACACGCCTGAGAAGCGGAGAAAAGAAAAAAAAAACGCGGTAAGGTGTAGCCACGTGACTTCCGGCCATGAGCTTCCGTGCTCGCGTTTTGGTTTCGGTTGCGAGCAGTTGAGGTTTTTGGCTTTAATAAAAATAAACCTGACTCCGTAGCAAAACATTGATTGTCTTCTGACACCATATTCAATCGCCTGGAGAAAAAACAAAATTGTGTGTATGTGTGTGTGTATGTGTGTGTGTGGGGGGGGGGGGTGTCAGTCCCGCGTCCCCGTATATTTGTTTCTTTACGTCTCGAGCAGCTTCGATAATCCCAAGCCAGGACCAGTCTCGTAGGCCCATTTTAGCGGAGCTCCTACCGGAGACGTTGTGGAACATCGGGCTCAACCCTTCACCGAAGAGAAGCCGATATCGCGGTGGAGATGAAAGTGTAGAACAGGGGAATAACGGGCGTAGTTCATTATGTGTCATCCGCAGCTCATCTGGCTTATTGGTTAGTTGGTGTAATTGTGAATTTACTTTATGAAAGATTGTTAGGCTCGTCCAGTCGCCAATCATTATGATTTATTAATGCGAAAGCATTAAGTGTTCCATGGAGCGCAGCCGGCGCTGTCTGTAACCACGAAAAATGGCACCTAGTCCCATTGGCTGACTGTAGCGGCACCTAAATGCACATTGGCTGAGCGAAACGCCACCTAAATGGAAGTCATCAAGCACGCGCGTTCAGAAATAAAACACAAAAAAAGCACAACAAAACAGATACTTCGTCACGGAAGCCGGCGGGGGCCGCTCAAGGTCAAAGCGGACGCTCCTCAAGACTAAAACATAAAGAAAAGCACAGCAACGCAGATGCATCGCCACAGAAGGCGTAGAGCTGGCGGGTTTCGCCGCGCCTGCGCAGTGGGGGAGCGCAATGTCATCGCCGGAGCGCCGTGTGCGATACAAAGACGTGGCGCGCTGCTTGTAAGAATGCGCTGCGTGTAGGAATGCTTTTGCATCCCTACACTTAAGCAATCTTAATTGTTTCTGCCAAATTCCAATATACCCCCCAAAAAAAGTTTTTTCTTCCAGATTAAGAGTAAGTTTAATGCTCAAATATATGACAACCTGTCTTGCTTGGCATGATCTTACCGCAATTTACGCAGTTCGCCGTCTAGGACCTCTAATACCCCATTCTCTCTGACGTATGCTCTGGTGGCTTAGAGCAGGTAACGTCAACTCTATCAATACTTTTGTTGATAATTGTAATCACGAACGACAGATCCGGTTTATAGGTCAGCCCTTTTTGCTACGCAAATGTTTTTGCTTCTTGATAAAGTGCAACTTGCTGTGAACGCTCGTAGGATTCCTTGCTCTGTATCAACTGAGGAAGCGAAGGAGTTAACAGACGCTGAGTTCAGTACGACAACATCTGACTTACAGCCTTGTATCTCATTTAAATATCTCCTTCCCAACTTTGGAAGAGACTGAGCTTGATTTATGAACGCTATAGCAATTGGGTCATCAATTAGTCGGTCACTTGATTAGTTAATTGAATTTATTTCCTGACTGCATTTTTAGTTGACTGACGTATGAATGACTGACTGCTCTACTGATTGGCTTATTGGTAAATTATTTATTATTTAATTAATTTTTCGTGGAATAACCGGCCTTCAGTGCGACTTGAGGGTCACTCGAGCACATTCGACTGCCCTCAACAACAAAACGCATAACCTTGACTGGTCCTGTCGCTTGTACGTCCCAATTCAGGCAACGTTCCTTTCGTGCCTGCGCAGTGTATACCGGCTCCGGAGACAAGGTGGCCAGGATGTTCGAGGCCAAGTCTGGAACACTGAAACGATCCTTCCGAGGTCACGACCATGGCGTGGTCTGCATCGAGGTGAGAGAAGCATCCCATACTAGCGCGTGCGTGCGTGCATGCGTGCGTGTGTGCCTGCGCGCGTGTGCGTGCGTGCGCGTGCGTGCGTGTGTGTGCGTGCGTGTGTGTGTGTGCTTGTGTGTGCGTGTGTGTGTGTGTGTGTTCGTGTGTATGTGTTATACGCAACTTTAGAATGAGCGTTCCACTTTGGGAGAGCCTAGAAAAAGCCACCACTACAGTCACAGATTGGTTGAAATGCAGGGCAAGGTTTATTATGTTCACGCTCCTTGTTTCGTTCTTTGACCTTCTCATCGGAGAATAACGCAATCTTATTGGGTTCGGAGCGATAAAGAGATGCTCGATCGGGACTCGCGTTTCGTAATCTGCCGGTGGCTATGGATGAAGCACCTTCCCATTTTACCTCAAAGATGTATTCTATTCCAAATAAAAATAGTATAGCGCATTCAATGTACAAGCCGTTCATTCACTGAAGTAATATATATGCAAGAGAAATGCACCCGGTGGAATTCCGGGTGCAAGAAAGAACGGAGACTATACGGCGAGCAAGTGCTTCAAAAATACGTCCTTTTGCACATCGGAACGCAAGGAGGAGCACGTGGCTCGAAGGGCAATATGTGGAGAAGGCGCAGGGATCGCGAGATGACGAAACAGCCAAGCCCGCACCGTCATCGGTTGAGGTCGGGGGGCAAAGAACAGCCATGTGTGTGTGTGTGTGTGGTGGGGGGGGGGGGGGGGGGAGGGGTAAACAAGCGCACGAGACGCTCAAGAAGCAGACCACTTTGCACGCCGTATAGTCGCGGACAGCTCTCGCTTCTTGGTGTGGTTTTTAGGATTCCTATCGGTCCGACAGCGCGAACTGTTGAGGAGCGACAATAAGACGCTCGGAACTAGCGATGCCCTGCGTTTCCTATGCCGTAGGTGACTACCTGCATTACATCGATGAAGGTGTAAAACATTCTGGCCGTCCGTGCTGAGGCTGATAATCTATCGGTTGAAGTATCCGACGTCAAGAGCCAAACTTCAGGTACAATTTAAGAGTCAACCCTAGCAAGTTGCATGCTTGTGCTTGTAGAGGGTCCCTAGATTGTTTACTTGCGTGACTACTCCGACCCAGAATAAACAATACCGAGATAACTGCCCTGATTTTATAGCATGTTTGTATAGACCTTTGTAAAAATCGCCTTCTGTGCGCAGCCATCTTTGTCTGCTGGGCTGCGGAACGCCTTCTGGGCATGCGCTGTTGATCATCTGTGCGGTAGATCGGACGCTGCGCATGCCTCCACAGCTCAGTAACGCTGCATTTTTCCCCTGGGTCATAAGCAATGCACAGGTCTATACGTCACTTTTTTTTTTTATCTGCTATTAAGAGAATATATCAGAATCCAGATAACACTAGAGCCAGTATAGATAAGCTGCTCTTCAAAGCAACGAAACTTGAGCCATCTTGGTGCTTCAAATCCTTGTTGCCAGTTATCTGGAGCTTTATCGGGAATCGTGGGAAACGCGTTTTCGTTTTCCGGAAATGTAAAAGCAGTTCCGCCCAAGAGCAAAACGCCAATGCCTGAGCTTCCCGACGCCATACCTGGAGCTCAGGAAGTCGCAATTTGAATCGTGACGGTCGCCATTTGCGCCCGCTCTGCACTAAGTGCCAAGATGGCGGCGCCCAGCGGAAAATCGACCAATAAAGTAGCGAGATTCTATGCGTAGCTTATTTATTGAAGCTTGATAACACTTCACTTTTTTTTTTTTTTCTGCTGGGTACATGACGCCGAGAGAAAGTCCGAATATGCACGGCGCGAGCACTTCCCGGCTCTAGAGCCTTTACGTTTGAGCAGGGTGTATTCCACCTAGTTCGTCGTATTTAATGTCCAGCAGGAAAGACCAAGGCGGCAGGCTTTCGGGGTCGTGAACTAATTTCCCTTATCGAGTGTCCAGCCCTTCCAAACTCCCAGTGAATCAATGCGCTCGCGCTTGCTGCGGCATAGCGTGATGCTAGTGCAATTGACGAAAGCGGTAGTTGCACTAGGACGTCGCGATTAGTCTTAGTGGAAGAGTTTCTCTTGCAGTTCTTAGTTTGCAACATACTGTTTGTTCATTTTTTTCTGCATTATCCCTACCGGTTCTTTTTGCGTGCTTACTTTCCTTCTTGCGATCAACAGTAGACGTAGTCAGACTGCGCTGCGTAGTGTTGCATTCGATCCACTTCGGTAGCCGCAGCAACCCATGGCAGCATCTCGTTGCGCAGGCCATTGTAATCAGTCGTGAAACAGTTGTTCGTTCACAAATCGAAAATATCTGAACTAGCCTTCGGGGATTTGAGGGGACGCATCTTTGAAGCATCATTTCTCAAATACACAGTGTCCCAAAAAGGGCCTGCCATGTTATTGTGTGTGTGTGTGTGTTTTTTTTCACCACAAAAAATATGCATCGCCAAACACTCATTCTCCGCTCAAATGTGGCGCTAGCGGACCACATGCCAATGTGTCAGACCTAATCGTTATCTTATTCAAAAGTAGAAAATAGCGGCCTACTGAGTCCTCCAATATATGGAGCTTAATGGCGCCAGTTCCCGAATATGGGCCCCACTTTCCCATTTAAATTTCTAAAAAGAAATACGTAACATTTCAATGAGATTACGGTTATGTCTGAAACTTTGATATTCAGTTCAAACCGCTAGCGCTACATTTGGGCGGAGAGTAAACGTTCGGCGATGCGTAGTTCGTTATTGCGCAAAATAAAACTTTTTTTTTTTTAAAGGGGAAAAGGGGGGGGGGGGGGGGGGGGGGGGGGGGGGCGTTGTATATTTTATTATAGCAAGCAAATTCCAGTGCCGAATTACAATTGCGCTTCAAAACTGTTACTGTCGCGTTCGAACGCCGTGCTTTCGTTAAGCGCGAACATATTGAACACTAAAGTGAGCTCCTCTGGCACACTTCGAGCAGGTTAAATTTCCAATTTAGAAGCGGCTTTCTCAAAACGCCACTGATGTCGCTTCTTTTTTTTTTTTTTTTTCAATACTTTTAGGGCTTACACGGAATTACAGAGGGGGAGGGGGGGGAGACATACATAATCACAATGAAAAAAAAGAACACAATAATTATTGAAATCAACTAAGCAATTTTGTTAGAAAATTGTTGATTTGGCGTGTTAGCAGATCTGGTTAGTTAATGCATTTTTAAATAGTTCAATTCATTTGAGTGTTTGCCAGAAGTGCTGAAAGGCGAATCCAACCAGATGACGTTCTTGATATCAAGCCACTCGATGTATGCTGACGTTTGGCAGTCAGATTTGCCGACCTTAAAATTCTGATCAGCTCGTGCAGAAATATATATCTGAGGGGTTAAGGAATAGTTAACTTCGGAGATTTTAAAATTTAGTCCTCTTAACTCCAAGCACGAAGTCCTAACGGGCAAACGATGGTGGGCCGTTCGAGTATGTACGCTCAGGTGAACCTGGCCGAGCGTCAGTCGTGAATATTTATTGAATGAACTGCGGTATTACCAGCCTGTAATCAGGAAACGGTAGGATTACGCAATTAAAATTTGACCTAGAAGCGTATCGCGTCTCACTCAGGTGTTCCAGTGTTTGTCTACATTTTGTTCCAAGCATTTACCTGCACGTGATGATTTCCTACGCTCGCTTAACAAGTTGTAATGACCGCTGGCCAACGAGTTCGTGGAATTGTTTCCGCGCTGGGATTATTTACCTTCCGCGCTGCAAATAGTTTAAAGTAAACTCCCTTATACGAATATATTACATAGTACGTCCTCCAAGGTAAATCGGCCTATCTGAGAACAAGTGCCACATTAGTACTTTGTCTCACTGGCACGCGCAGAGCTGTTGGAAGAGAAATTGTGCATGTGTGGACCCGGGGGGAGGGGGAAGGGGGGAGAGGGGGGGAGGAGGAGGAGGAATGAGGACGCGTAAATCAATTTTTACTTCATTCGGCTCAGCGTTTATTCAGCTTTATACAAAGGTGTTGTGAGTTCACCGCTGTTGCTTCCGAAAGTCACTTGATAGAATACAAAAGATTACCATCAGAATTTTACTATCCCAGGCACCTCAAAATAGTGGAACAATATTGGGGTAAAATTGGGTAACTTGGCCCAAGTTGGGACTGCTTCCCCAATATGCATCCAATATTGGTAAATGTTGGGGACATCTTGCTATAATCGTACAACATTATCCAGTATGTGCCCAATATTAGTAAACATTGAGATTATCTTGGTAATAGCTGCCCAATATTATTAAGTGTGTGCCCAATATTGGTAAATATTGAGACAATCTTGTTATATCTCGACAATATTACCAATAGTATCCAGTATGTGCCCAGTATTGGCGAAAATTGGAACAATCTAGGTTTAGCTGGACAATATTACCAATACTGTAAAATATGTGCCGAATATTGGTAAATATTTGTAAATACTGGGACAATCTGGCATGGCTGGACAATATTCCTCTTGGTATGCGAACGCAAAAGGAGACAAGGGTCACACAAAAACACGTCAGAAAAACGCTATCCGTGTCTGACGTGTTTTTGTGTGTCCCTTGTCTCCTTTCGCGTTCGCATACCAAGATGTTTAACCAACACGCTCTCCTAATTTTATGTACAATTTTATTCAGTTAGTGGCCATTATTGGTATATATTGAGACAATCTTCGTATAGTTGGACAGTATTACCAATAGCATCGAGTATGAGCTCAATATTCGTAAATATTGGGTATGAATTCAGACCTTTTTAATGCCTCGTTCATCACCCTCTTTTTAACAAGGAAAAAAAGTTTGTGGACTTCTCTGAATTTCGACGCTCTCCCTTATATCAATTCGTGCCACTTACGAAGTGGAAGGAGGAACAATTCGCGTGTGTTGATGCCTTTGTGTTCCTAAGATCTCAAGCTAAAATTTCCAAGCTATAAGCGAACCTCGGCTGCCTACAGATGTTATAAGCAGATGAAAAACAAACTTACAGAGCTAAGGTAAACTACAGAGTGCTCTCCTGT